ATAACTTATTTTATTTTAAATAAAATTAGTCGAGTTTTCTTTATATTTTCTTTGTTTATTTGTTTGTTCAATACTTTCAAAGTCATTGAACAGAAAAATAATAAATCAAATAATTAAATTTATATTTTTCATTCAGCCATCAATATTTATTCATAAAAATATTAATAATTTTTTTTATTAATCAATGTTTTATATGAAGTAAAGTATACAAATCGCCTGATATATGCCTATTTTAATATTGATAATTTATAATAATTTTCCATAAGCCATCTTTTATATACTATTATCATAGTGGTTTATTAACTACATGTTCGGTGTCTTTGTTAGAGTGCTAAACAAAATATTAATAAAGAGCATGTAGAGCTACAGTTACTAATTTAATGAATTTATGTATGATTTTTGTATATTTTATTTAGATTTATATAAGAAAATTTTATATTAACGATAATAAAATTTTCATATTTTGCAGTATTTATATAATTTAATTTATATTTCATTAATTAATTACGTTTACTAACTTCACTAAAATAGACATGAGTTGTGAAATATTATTCATAACATTGTAAGAAAAATTCAAATAATTACAAATTAACCGTCAATAAAGACATATTTTTAATAAAAATGGGTATTTTTATTAAAATAAATAATTACATCTTCGAAGCATGATTGCTCAATAATGTATAATGTATAAACAAAGTTTACTTGTTTATGGAATAAGAATTGTATTTTAATTCATAAAATTAGTAGAGGCAACTCTACATATTCTCTATTCATTTTTTTATTCAATATTGTAGTAAAGTCTTTGAACTAGTATTTAACGAACTATTAATAGGGTACAAGTTAAATTATATAAATATTACGAAAACTAATATTTTATTAATGTAGTATATAATTCTCTCTTAAAATATTAAAACAAGATTAATTCTCAGGATTTATCATTTTTTTTTTTTAACCTTTTCAAAAGAAAAAAAAAAACAAATTATTTTTATATAATTTTTTTTTTTTTTTTTTTTTTTTTTTTACAAAAAATGATTTTATTCTAAAATGAAAAGTAAAATTTTATTTTTAATAAATATCTTATACATAGTAGAAAAAAAGGCATATTTATAAAACAAATATTTTAAGTTGAAAGAAGTGAAAATGAATTACATTTTTTTACATTTTTCAAAAAAAAAAAAAAATTTAGATATTTGTAGAAAATTTTATAACTTTCAATTCAAAAAAAATATATATATTTGTGTATTTATATATATATTTAAGTATATAAACATATATATATACATTTATAGTTAAAAACATTAGAAATTTTATTTTTTTATTTTTTATTTTTTTATTTTTTTTTTTTTTTTTTTTTTTTTTTTTAAAAAAAAAAAAAAAAAAAAATTATTGGATTTTTTTTTCAGAAATGTTTCTTTCGAAAAAGATAAAGATAAAAAAAAAAATAAAAAATAAAGATTTAAATTATTTTTTTTTGAAAAGGAAATAAAATCAGAGAGAGAGAGAGATTTTTTTTTAAGAAGATAATGATATTTTTGTAAAGTGTTTAATTTGCATAATATTTATATTTTGAATTTGTGAGAAAGAAAATTTTATACATAGGAAGATAAAATTTTCATGTAATTAATATGCATATAATTTATTTGCATTTTTAATAAGTATTTGTGTTTTGTTAATTCGATAGCGATATAAAATGATTGCTGAATATAACTCGTAATAAATATACTAATAATTATAATCAATTAATAGTTAATGTTAAATAAGTGTTTAAATTTTTAATAAAATAAGGATTTATTTATTAATATAAATAAATACTTATTGAAGCAAAAGAATGCTGAACGAAGTAGTTTATGATTAAAGATCATTCGTTCAAAGCATATAAAAATATACATAAGTATACGAAAATCGTAGAGTCATCTCTACATGCTCTTTATTAATTGGTTTGTTCAGTACTCTAGCAAAGTCTCCGAACACCCAGTTAATAAATCATATAGCTAGTCCTTTTTATAACCAAAAAGGTTAATGAAGCCTTTTATTAACCAGTTATACATGGCTCTATAAACAATACTATTGACCTTCTTTGTATAATATTTACACAAATAAATAGAATAAAAACATTATATTTTGTGCATGCTAATTCGCAAGGACAATAAGCTATCATAAATGTCTGCTCTAAAATAGATATTCAAAAAGTATGTAAACAAAAAATATATGTATATATTTACTTGCACATAAAGTGAATGCAGTTAAAAAAAAATAAATAAATAATAATATTTTTTTAGTGCGGGTATTCAAAATTAAAAAAAAATATATATTATGATGATATTTTTATTATTACAAAAAAAATATGTAATCTTAAAAAAAAAATTAGTTTTTCTTTTTTTTTTTTTGGGAGGATAATGTGCAGACTACTAAAGAATGTATATTTTTATTTTAAGCTAAAATGTAATATTAAGGAAATTACATTTTAGAGTTTGCTTATATTAAAAAAAAAATATTCAACTAATAAGTCATATATAATTCTTATTAATAAAAATAAAAAATTTATATTAAAATTAAGTAGAGTTTACACTACATTTTCCTTATTAATTTAAAAAAATAATAAAAGTTATTTTTATAAATTAAATATGAAAAATAAAATATGTGCGTATTTATTTTATTTTTTTTACTATTTTTTTTTTTTTTTTTTTTTTTTTTTTTGCATGTGTGTGTATAGTAATTTCTTTTATTCTCAGGTTGTAAAAAAGTCCTATATTTTTCAAAATTAATTGTGTGTAAAAAAGTGTACTTGTTTTTATATATTTTTAATAAAATAAAAAAAAAATATATATATTTGTATATATATATTAAATATATATATATTCAAATAAAAATGAAAAGAAGTATAAATAATGTATATTTTATAAAAAATGTTATCAGTATTTTTATTTAAATAAATACTATTAATAATCAAAATTACCGATGTTTAATTTATTAAGTAAATTACATTAAGCATATTTTTTTATTCTTTTTTTTTTTCTTTTTTTTAAATAATATATACTTAAACTTTTAAGTGTAAGAATAAACCACTGATAAAATTTTTGTAAAAAGTGATACCAAAAATACAATATTTACCTTTTCGTGTTATACATTTTGACTTTCAAAAAAAATTATAAAAATAAAAAAATGTAATTATAATCGGTTTCTTTCATACTAATATATGATATGCATATACATGTTAGTTATGTCATTAATATGAAAAATTAAAAAAAAAAAGAAAAAAAATGAAACTTTAAACTTCTAAATGGTTTCCACCGTGATACTATATATATTAAGGAAAAAAAAAAAAAAAAATTAAATCAAAAATATAGAATATATTATAAAAAAGTGAGAAAAAGTGAAAAAAAAAAAAAAAAAAAAAAAAAATTTATATTTTTAAATTCTGAATATTATTTATTTATTTAATTTTATTTTTTAAAAAAAATATCATTAATAACAAAATCTAAAATATTNTTATTCTTTTTAATTTTTTATACTTAATATAATAAATAATATAACGTAAATATAACGAATTTAAAAATATTAACTAAAAAATTTTTTTTTTTTTTTGAAATTAAAAATATTAATAAGATATACTATTTTTAACGAATTTTCTTGTTTTAAATTTATTAAGTCTCTTTTTTATTTTATTTTTTTCCTGTTATTCATTATATTTACATAAAAATTTATAATAATATGAATGAATATTTTTTAAAACTCTATGAATTATTTTTTTTCCTTTAGTACTTATGATATTAATGGGTCATTCATATAATATCCAATGGTATCTCAATTGAATTATTATTCCAATAATCATTCAATATTTTATCCTTAGATTTATTAATTATTTCATTTGTTTCTTTATAAAAAGGTACCATTTTAAGCTCTTCAGTTTGATTTTTTTCTAATACACCAACCTCTGCTAACAATCTTTCATGTTTTAACTTATTTTTCATTTGCATTGCATCTTTATTAATCATAGACTTACTAGAATCATACTATAATATATAATAAAAATTGTTTATAAGTTTTTTTTATTGTTAAAGTAATAAATTAAATAAAATTTTAGAAATTATCAGAAACAAAATATATTTATATATATTTTTTTTGTATGAACATTATCTTACGTTGTAAAAGCAATGAATAATCCATGTTAAAATAAAAAATGTAAAAATATTTAAACATAAAGTAAATATTTTCATTTTATTACTACTACAATATAACAATAAAGTTTTATTTATTTAAATATTCATACCATTATTATAAAGAAATGCAAATTATTTAAATAAAATTATCTATATATTGAAAAAAAATTTAATAATAATTTTGATTAAGTACAACTTTTTTTATTACATTATATTTTGTTTCAACTATTTTACTAATAGGAAGAATAAATGATATTTGTTAATTTTTGTATAAATATTTTAACTATTATTTAATATTATGTTATACATGCAACTGATTTATAAAAAAAAAAAATTAAGAGTATTAATAAATCTTTTTATACTTAAATTATAACTTATTATTTTTTTTTTTTATAATAAGTTCTTCATTTTTATTAAACATAATATTTATGCAAATATTTAATATATTCATATTTTTATATAATGATTTAAGTATTAATACATTGTTTTAATGCTCATTTTCATTGTAATTTCAACTTAAAAACTATCATCTTATATTTATATTTTTTTTTTAAAAAAAAAAAAAAAAAATAGTTTAAAACATTGAATATCTAATTCATTTTTTCTTAAATTCGATATTTTCATTTAAAATTGACTCTTTTTCATATTTCTACTTATAATTTTATTCATTATATTTAATTTTTTTTTTTTTTTATTATATTTCATCTATTTTTTTTATTTCTACAAATAAATTAATATATATATATATATATATATATATTATTTAATATTTTAAACTTCCTTTGTTATCTTTAAATATTATTTATTTATTTATTTTTTTTTTTTTTTTTTTTTTGTGAAATGATGGATAATTATACACATAATAATACAGATATTCCAAATAGAAAAGATAATCTCATAAAAAATTCAGAGATGAATGTAATTACTTCAAAAGATAATATAGATGATGAATATGATAATAATAAAAATATAGAAGATAATATAGGTGGTGATAAATATTACAAAGAAGAAAATTATTCCGAAATGTATGATTTAGATAAAAGTAAAATTTTTAAAAATAAAAATAGTTCTGAAGAGATAAGTGATATATATAATATGAATTATGATAAAAATTTAAATGAACAGTTATTATTAGATGTTAATAGTAAAAAAAAAAAAAAAAAGTATGAAAATTTTCTCAAAAGCAAAAACGATAACAAATGTACAGAATTGAAAGAAATTCCTTACTGTTCTTTTAATAATTTTGAAGAAAAAGAAAATGATGAAAAAATAAAAGAATTAAATAATAATAGTTATAATATGTTTAATAAGGAGAAACTGAAAAAAATTGAAAAGAAAAAAAAAAAAAACAATGAAAAAAAGAAAAAAAAAAAAAAAATACACATGTATAATTTATATTAATAATATAGTTAAGGAATTAAATGTAAATTAAAATATAAAAGTAATAAAAATTAATATCCATAAAAGTTAATTAAAACTATATATATATATATATATATATATATATATATATATATATATATATGAATTCATGCATTTTTATTATAATACCTGAAAGACTTTTTTTTTTTTTTTTTTTTTTTATTTTAAATTACTAATAATTTAATTCTAATTATATATTAAAATTTTTTATATTCATTTTTAGATATTTTTAATAGAATTTTCATAAATATTTTCAATATTTTTAATTTTTGTTTTTATATAATTATCTAATTTGTTTTTCTCAACAACTTTCCATTCCTCTCCTTCTATGTTTTTTATTATATCATCACGAATTTTATGACGTATATTTCTTATATCTCCTTTTATTTTTTCTAATAAATCTTTTGCTTCTTTCTTTTTTTTTAATTTCGCTTCATTAGTTAAAGGAGGGATTTGCAACAAAATAGACTGGTTATCATTAGATGCTATAGGATTCCATGAATTGTCTTTTATCTTTAAATTATGAATTATTTTTTGTATATCATTAATCATATAAGGATAAAAATAAATTAAACTTGATGATTTAATAACCACTTGAGCTAAATCAGATAATTTGAAATTTTTTTTGTCTTTTATAACAGATATATTGTTAAAAGTTTCAATACTTAAGGAATTATCAAAAATTTTTTTTATTTTATTCTCAAAATTTTTAATAATTTCTTGTAATTTAAAATCATAAACTTTATAATCTATTTTATTTTTTTCAATCGTTATTTTTTGTTTCTCATTAAGATTTATACTTTCTATCTCATCATTATTCATATTTGATATTTTCAAAATCTTTCGAATTTTTTTCGTTTCTTTACCTATTTTTTCTTTTTGTTTTTTGCTCCCAAAATCCATCTGTTGAATAAAAAAATTATATACACTACAAAATTTAAATTTCCATTTTGTAAAATATAAGGATTGATAAAAAGGTCTATATGATCTAGGAATTTTCATCTTTCATATTTTTTTTTTTTTTAATATATGTAAATTTTAAGTTAGATATAATGTTCTTATAAAAATAAATATTTTTTTAAAACATAACATATTAAACAGAAAAATATATAAAACAAATAATTACATTTATCATATAAGGAAAAAAGAAAAAAAATTAAAATAAGTTTTTCCTATTTTAACGCTTCAAAAAAAAATTCTTAATCAGAGAAAAAAATTTATAAACACATTTTTTAATATATAATAATATTTATTAAATTTAATTTAAAAAAATATTATAAATAATATTTTATATATTTAAATATTTTCATATATTAAATAGAATAAAATAAAAATATGCCATGATAATACTATTAAAGAGTATAAGCAATTTAAAAAAAATTACATCTTTTTTAAATCATTTAAGTAGAGATAACTAAAAAAAAAAATAAAAATAAAAAAAAAGGAGATTTTTAAAACAATTTTTTAATGTTTGAAATATACAGAATATAGTA